CCCCAACATGGGTCTACTCCATTTTTTGTTTCATTTTTATATACATGGTATTAAAACACTATAAAATACACAATTCTGCCAAAGAAACTTTGATGAACATTTGAACTGTGTCTGTACAAAAATGTGACAAAAAAAAGTATTACCATGGCACATTTGGCACAATTATACTCGCAAATACAAAAACAAAAGAACAAGACAGTCAAACCCCTCGGAGTGAGAATGGCCGGTCAAGCAAGTGCTTGTAAATGTCTCTTTTATGAACAAATATAAAACAAATTATTCCCACTCAGTATTAAATATTTGTCGCTTGTTAAGGACGAATCAACGATGCAGATCTACAAACTTGGCCTAGACTCTGTTACGTGCTATTCATCATCTTTCGTTTCTTGAGGCGTTCTCGCCAGTCTTCAGGAAGCACCTCAAAGTTGGCATTCTTCGAAGCCTTACCCCTGGGGAATAATAATAACAAAAATAACATTAATTAAGAAATGAATGGCACTATACAATAAAAGGATGTGACCATATAAGGACATACGTCACGAGCTGCTGCAGTTTCCAGTCCTCGATGCTCTTTTTGTTGAGCTGATCTCTGTCTTCATCGCTGGAGCTGCTCTTCTCTTCTTCATCCAGCTCTTTCTGGATGCTCTGCCACTTCTTTACTAGTGAAGGCATTTTAGTCTTACTCTTCTTCGACTACATAAAAGGGAGAAAATTTACCAATATTAAAAAATTGCATATTTATATGACATTCCTGTGACACGACTGCAACTGCATGGATGTAGCATAAACCTCACCTTATCTTTTTTTGGTTTCTTAGTCTTGTCCACAACTGGAGCTTTGGTTGTAGGAGGTTCATACGCAGGTTGGGATGGTGGCAGTGGTGGCTGAGGAGGGGCAGGTATGGGTGGGGGTGCAGGAAGTTCTACTGGGATTAAAGGAGTAGTCACAGCTGGCACACCCCAGTATGCGGTTGCTGACATCATAGGCGCTACAGACAAAGACAAACCTTAAAATTACAACTGTTCTCACACATAGTGCTTCCACAATGATGTAATATGCATATTAAATCCAAAAATCTAACTTTAGTCAGAAGTGTTATTGATRATTATTTTGCAGAGGTTGCGTGGTGCTTTTACCTGCACAAACAGCTGTCTGAGTGTAGATAATGGGACTGCTTCCAATCGTAATGGTTTTATTCATCTGACCCGCTTTACGTTTCTGACCTTTCCCCAAAGGATTCGAATCAATAATCTGTCAAAAAGCAAAAATGTTTAAAACACAAACGTAGCACTGCAAGCATTAATAAGAATTATGGCTGGGCGATATGGCCTAAAATCAATATCACGATATATTGACCAGTTCACCTCGATAACGATCAATGCACGATAAAACTTACTACCACCCCCCATCACACACAAGTACATGGTATAGTATAATCATAACACTATACACTGTGTCCACGTTCTTGGTCAAAGTACACAGTATAGATTTTGAACAGCTTTACTGCAGTTTATATTTGTCATTTTAGTGTTTTTAATATATTTAATAAAAAAATAACATTTTTGGCAAGACTTGAGTCAGATATAGTCATAAAAATATTTAAACATCTCCATAACTTTTCAGTGCAAACAAACACATTATGTATTATTAGTGATGCACTGATACCGATACCAGCATTTTACAAGTACTCGTACTCGTTCAAAATGCCCCGATACACTGAACCGATACCTTTTTTTGGCGTGGATGTTCACATTTTAAATACAACTTCCAGACTGCCGTCGATGTGACACGCATGCGCCGTTTACAGGATTAAACAACTGGTTGCTGTGGTGAATGCTACTTCTTAGCTTGTTGATTGTAAAGTTGTTATCTATCAGAACTGGTAAAATAATTGTCTGACAC